GGTCATGCCTTTTGCAAGTTGCCAATTGACCAAGGCCTTCTCTGAAGCCTAGAATCACTAAAAACAAAATTAGTAATCAATTTTTCCCTGTCATTATTTTTAAACCTTAGGTTTCCAAATAATTATCGATACAAAAAAAAATAAGATGTACACTACTACTATAACAACCCCCCCTTGGGAGCACTGCAATTCGCTATAGGTCTGTTCTTTCTCTCAATCACAAGTCACAGTCGTTAGTTACTTGTGAAAATAAAAGGTTAGTTTACAATTGTAAGCTCTTATCCTGCTCAGAGTCCACTATGAGATTTTTCTCTTCAATTTCAACTTCCAACAAGTCTTTCGTAGGAACAGCTTCCCAGGTACTAGCGTCGACGGATGCCTTCACTCGAGTATAGTGAGTCCAACCTTTTCCGCAGTTCTTACGGCTGTTTCAGTGGTTAGTAATTGTCCTTCCCATTCAGGCCGGAGTTGACTCTTTCCAGGTCCGAATCAGGACCCGGTTTCCTGGGTGATGGTGGTGAATGGGGAATTCCAAAGGTGGGGTTTGAGCCAACAACCCACAGGTCCTGAGAAATGACAAAGAAGAGGACAAACCCAGAATACAGTTCTTAAGAAAACTCTCTTGTTTTGAATTGTGGTATCTCATCCCTTCTGCCCAGATAGGGCAATCTGAACAGCATCTCATATGGTGAAATTCCTATATCCTTTCTTGGTGCTGTTTAAACCTGTAGGAGTAAGCATTTTACCCAAGGAAGTTGGGTTTCTAACACTAGTTTAGTTAATTGCTTCTTTAATGTCTGATTCATTCGCTCCACCTTCCCAGAAGAGGAGGGGTGCCAGGGGCTGTGAAAATCCCACTCAATCTCTAAGGCCTGCTTTAACCCTTGCAGTAAAGCTTTACACCCATCCAGTCACGTGGTCAATTAGGACAAACAAGTAACTCAGTAAAGTTTACCTGTATACTTTGGAAAGGTCAAACCCCTGGCTCCCGTCCCCCTCTAGATGGGTTACAGAAGACCTTTTTATTTACCTTTTGACATATGGTACATCCTCTACATATGTGCTTCCCTAAAGTGTATATTCCTACACAGACATACTTTCTTAGCACAACATCACACATTGCTTGCACCTCCCAATGACTCTTTTGATGTAAAACAGTTAATATTTGCCTCATTATCACTTTATTCAGCATTTCTCTCCCATTAGGGAGTATCCATTTTCCTTCAGACTTCATGGCTCCTGATTTCTTAAAAAAAATCTTTCTTTTAAAACTTTTTAGTTCTTTCTTAATTTTCAACAATTCTTTGAATCCTCTCTGCATTTATTCTTTGTTTTCCTTCAGACATTAGATGCCTTAAATACCTGACTTCTCTTTCTCCGTATTGTAATTTATTTATTTTTTTTTAATACTCCCAAGCCCTGGTTTCCCAGAAAGTTGAATAGCTTGTTAGTAGCTTTCTTCACAACTCTTTTCTCCTGTCCTGACAATAGAAAACAATCCATATATTCGTTAACATTAATACCCCCTTGGGAGGTTGTAATTGCTCCAAAATCTTTTTTTTTAGAACTTAACCAAATAGATAGGTGGCCCAGTAAACCCTCGGGGTAAAATTGTCCACCTATATTGTTGCTTCCGCCCCCATTTCAGGGTCTTTCCAGTCAGAGGTGAATATACATGTATGTTTGCTCTCAGGGCCTGAGAGCACTCCATTAATAACACTGTTATTCCAGTCTAACAATTTACTATTTGAATGCCCAATTTAATCATTAAATCCCTTCTCAACAAGTTAGTCCCTGCCTTGGGTACATACAATAATTACCCAGTGATCATTTTATCCCCTGGTCTCAGGTTGGTATCCCCCAAAAGTGGCACTGTTATTCCAGCCCCTTCTACCCCCATCACTTTTTAGGGTTTCATTAGTTAATTTAATCCCTGATGCTTTACAAGTCAGTAATGACCTAGCTGTTCCCCAGTGTATTGGGTTTGATGGCAAGGTTCGGGGGCTGTGAGTGGGGGGCGTGGGAAACTGCAGTGGCAGCCCCCGTGAGAAAAACCCAGAAGCCTCCCCGTGGCAGGTAAGGGACAATTTCATCTGGCCCCAAAGGGGCCCACTGCCGCCCAGAGCCAAGCCATAAGCAATACAGTCCGTGCCTCTGTGAGAGCACAGCCACGAAAACAAACAAACAAAGAAACAAACAAAAGCCTGCTGCTCAACAGCAGTTGGGAGAGCGAGAAACCCCCCCACAGACACCAAAGTCAGTGCAGAAGGAGGGGGAGGAGGCGCTCCAGGCGCTGGAGCCGAAGCCCCCCTGCGGCCGCTGGAGAGGCCCCTGGTGGAGCAGGCTGTTCCCCCCTCCCCGATGCTTGGGAAACTGAACAAACACCACAGCAAATATGCAAATATACCAAAACTTCTAGACTGTTACTTAGATAATGCCTACATCACCTTTCCCTGCTCATTCAACTTCAAACAGCTCTGTTAAATACTACATGCCACACCTTTAACACCTTCAGCAACACTTTTAACACTTCCTTTATCTTTCTCCAGCCTGTACTTTTCTAATACCAGCACCAAAGGCTCAGTCAGGGTCCAACTTAATTCCATACCTTTTCCCTCCAAGATACTGAAACAACATATCAATATAGTATATTTCATGCCATTTTCCTTCTTTCCTCCTTCTTCCACTCCCGATATTCCTATTCGAAGTGGCCAGCCTGGCCACACTTAAAACATCTTATCAAAGCCTGTCTCTGCTAGGACTCAGGCCACAACACAGGCAGCCTTCTTTGCCTGCCATTCCTTCATCTCTCTTCCTCTCCTTTCCATCCTGGCCCTGACTCCCCCTGAAGATTTTCTTCCTCTTTCTCCAACCCTCTGCCTTACTACCTGCTGCACTGTCAATACCATTAGTTTCGCTCTTTTTTTTTTTTTTTTTTTTTTTTTTTTTTTTCCCTTCTTATCTCCCCTCTGGACACACACCTCCAGGGCCTCCCGCAGGAGGGTCCCCCAGTCAGTTCACTACATCCCCCCACCTTCTGAAGCATTTTCTGCGTATTTTGCCAGGCTTTAATCACACAATGAACTTTCAAGAGCCCTTGGGATACTGGGTCCTCAGGTCTCATCCCCAAGTACTTTCTCATTCTGACCCCAAGTCTCTCATATGATTTCTGTGTTGCACACTATTATTATTCCAGCCAGGATTGGCAAGTGGGTATTTCTGCCCTGCCGGTATTACCCCTGGTCCTGGAGGATGAGCTCTTTCCCATTCTCGTATAGCAGCTCTCCTCCTGATCATTCCCATTTCTTTCCCTGTAAACAACATACTTATAGACATAATTCCCTCCCCCAAGAGTATAAATCAGGTCGTAGGAACTGGTCTAATTGTTCAACTAGGCTGTTGGGGTCCTCAAATAAAGACTTCCTCTCCTTCTTAAAAGTCCTAACCTCTCTGCTGGTAAGGAGGGGGGGGTAGTTCACCTAAGAGGATACACAGTTGTTGTTAGTACTGTTAGTATCAGGGAAGGCAAAATTCTCAATATCTCTTCTACCTTGTTCTAATTCTTGCCAGAACCTAGAGTACGATCCTTCTTTAGGGACAGTGTTAATTACAGCCCCTGTCTCCCTTCCTGGAGTGACTGCTGCTGTCACCAGTTCAATATTAAGATTATAGGGAGCATAACTTGGCTCCTTCTCTAAAAAAAGGAATCTTCTTGTTTACACATAAATTTAAAGCCTGAATCTTCATCAGACCCGTATTTTGGCCAAAATACTGCTGTTTCCTTAATTGGTTCTTTTGTCCAGACTGATACACAATATTTAACCTTTTTTAAAATTATTTTTCTTTTACAATCCCTCTAATTTTGGGATTATGTTTCCAATTTCTTATCATTCTTCAGGAAGAACTATTAGTAGGCACTCCCCCAGGGATATCTCCCTGTCCCCTGGAACTCATATTTTCCCATTTTTCCTAACCCTCGCCAGTATGTGCTACAGAAATTTCCCTTCTGCAGTGTACCACACACCAACATACTGAAAAATGGGGGTGTACCGCCAAGCACTTCCCCGTGCAAGCGTTACCGCACACCTATGAGTTTACCAGATTCCCTGGAACTCGTACTTCCCATCTTTCCTAACCCTCGCCAGTATGTGCTACAGAAATTTCCCTTCTGCAGTTTACCACACACTAACGTACTGAAAGATGGGGGTGTACCGCCAAGCACTTCCCCGTGCCAGCGTTACCGCACACCTGAGTTTACCAGATTCCCTGGTGTACTTCCAAGCACTTCCCCGTGCAAGGATTACCGTACACCAGATTCCCCTGGTGTAGTGCCAGCACTTCCCCGTGCAAGGGCTTACCATACACCAGATACCCGACCCCCAAGGCAATACTTAATATTTCTTACCTTGGTCTGTGCACAGAGTTACCGGATCGATTCTTAAAAACCCGGAGTGCCTACCTTCTTCCTTTCCCCACTACTTCACGGATCCTGCCTCTTTAACCAGTCTCGGGCCCTCTGTCAGCTTTCCGCAGAACCGCCACCGTCGATGCACAGGACCGCTGAAATCAGCGGGGCATGCCTTCCTGCTGCTGCGGCGGTGGGGCTCCCCAGTAGGTGACTGGATCCCGGACGAGCCCCCAAATTGTGAGAAACACTCCGTAGCCAATAACTTAGGCTCAGGCGAGGATCTCAGTGAAGTAGTAATTTATTCGCGATTGCAATGGCGGGCGCCCCACAAGCAGGAGAGAGCGCATCTACTAGTTCCAAAACACAGTTTATATACCTTTTGATGGCAGGACCCTCCCCTGTTTCCCCACTGAGTGGGTAATCCAGGTTCACAATCTATCTGATGCTTCACAAACAATGCATAGTCTTCAGTTGCCGGCCTGTTAAATTTCAAATTTCTTTTGACATTTTTACTGCTTGAAGTGGTAATGTTTCTTCACTTATCTGACTTGACTTGACACCGTGATTTTCACCTAATTGTCCTAAGGAGACTGGTTGTCTGCATTTTACTAGGTCGCCTGCTAAACTTTCTTATCACTGTAAGCATATCTCAGTACCACATTCCCTCCTTCTAAACAATGTAACTCTGCAAAAACAACATTTCTATTCCCACACCACTGAAGGCCTTGAAAGTGGGATATGATTCTCAAAGTTCTCCCCCTTAAAATGAGAACGTGTCCCCTCCCCACACTGGGTATGTGTAGACTCACATCTCCTTCCTCCCAAAGCGTTTCTTAAGAACCAGGTTCTTCCAGGTGGGAATTTTCAATGCGTTCTGTTGCAGTAGCACCACTGCTCTGATGTCACTTCACCTGGGAATGGAGAAGTCCTGGGATTGAGCCTCTTCCGCAGCCAGGATTATGTCTGTTTCCTGTGCAATAGCCTGTTGAGTATAAAGATAGCAAGTGTTAGTAAAGAATCTTTCTTTACAGTATAGCTAGAGCACAAGAGATAATGCCCTGATTCATTGCTTACCCAGTATTTCAAGCAAAGAGAATTTGAAACAAGTCTAACCTTTATTTACTACAAAACACAGACACAATATACCTGCTGATTCTATGGTTTATATGCTGCACTGAAACAGTTAAAAGCTGCTTTATCATAGTTACATAAATTCACATGTACCTCAAAGACATTCCAGGTGTCCTGATTCTTGCATTAAAAAAAGAAAAAAAAAAAAAGAAGAAGAAAAATCAGCCTTAATAATTGAAGGTCATATAATTAAAGTTTCAGTCTGCTGTAAATTCACATAGCCAGGTCATTATCCATTTCCCTAAACCACCTATATAAAGCAAATGGCTGATGGCTTGCAAATATTGCAACATTACCTGGCCACTGCTGAACTGAATAGAAAAACAAAATACAAAGCTACTTTTCACATGCTTACCATCTTTCTAGGTTACTCTATGTTTTCCTAATGTGATGGTTATTTGTTTCTGGGGTCTTGCGATGCACTCTGCATTCAATGTAGCATTCAACAATTCTGATATGATTTGACAAAAGTATTTCAGGTTATGTTAAATATAGTACTCTTGCTACGTGATCTTTTTCTAAAGGATAGCTAGTGTGTCAGACATTCATTGCAATGCTAATATTTAAAAAACAACTATTGGGATTAAATAAAGTGTTTCATTGCTTAGTAAATATTTGGACATTTTATTGCTTTCATTAAAAGTGTTTTTTAATGAAGTTTCCTAGTTTTTCAGAAAGCAACTTGCTGAACTATACATTTTTCAATTATTTTTGAACAGGCCTTTAAATGAAAATCCTGTGATATATTGTGAGTGTTAGAGCATTAATTGAGAATTCATGCATTTGGGTCACTATACAGAATGCAGTGGCTGCAAGATTACTGTTACTGCCATGCACACAAAGATGTGTAGTATTTGATTATACTTATTTATTTTTTAAATAAAACTACATGACTTGAGACTATTTACTGATATATCCAAAATGCATCAGTGACACCTAAGAAAGCCCTGTTCAGTAGGTATGTATTTAATAGGGGGCTTTGTCTCTCATTAGCATCTCACAGACAATGCACATCCCATTTAGGTCAGGACTATGTCCTTTCTTGACTAAAGTTTGTAGAAATGACCTAGATTATGTTGCACTTGGATAGACAAATGCACCAGATGCAAAATGCTCTTTTCTTCCCTTCTGGCTTTGTGCAAGCATTACAATGTCTGTACCCTGGATGTTCTACAGATGTTTCTGTCCCATGATGTCTCACAATTTTCTTTAGGGAAATCGACATTTTTATTCATTGCTCCCCTTCACTGAGTAGGATTGCCAAGCAGCAGAATTTAAGACAAGCAGCTCAGTGAAGGATCTGTGCAAGATCTGCAGCAAAGAGAGGTCAGGGAGCCTTGCAAAGTGCCAAGAACTGCAGGGAATGTAGGAGACCAAAGATACTGACAGCACCTGATGATTGAAAGTGCTACTTTTCCAACAAAAAAATTCCACATGAATGTTACGATCCAGAGAGTTTCTTGTGCCAGTGCTATCCCCCAAGTTCTCAAAATATTCTCAGATTAATGGAACAGATATCTCACTGATCTAGCTTTAGGTTTTATAAGCCAATGGGTTACAGTAAATGTTGTGTTTCTGTAGTTCCATTTCAAGAGTGAGAAGAGGTTTCACACCTAATAGTGCTGATCTTGTGAGGTAAGCAAGTAAATATCATCATTAACTGCTGACAAGTGATCTGTGTTTCACTCTAACTTGATATCATTGAGCAACAAATCCTTTCAAGATGAGGTAGCTAGCTCAGATCCAGAGGGAAGGGAGTGCCTTGCATCACCCCACAGCTCACTTTTTGGATGTCAGCCTTGCTGCTGGACTCGGGAGGAAGTCCCATCTAGTCTTCTTCAGCCAGAAGTTAGCAACTGAGACACAGTTGGAGTCTGCGTACACACTGGAGACAGTGTACAGAGAGAGGGTGAGCTCAGACATCTACAGGACTCTGACAGCATTGTAGAGGACTTCAGAAGGACAAATTTAACAGTTGGTATTAGTGAAATTTTTGAATATGTAGAAATACAAAATCTTTTGTTCTATGGCTGCACAAAAAGGGGCCTTGATTCTTGAATTTCCCAGGAGGAAGAAAATGAAGGCTTTGCATTCACAGATAGTTCTCAAAGGATTCAGTGGTTTTGGACACTGGAAAATGTGAACAAATGTCTTTAACCAAATAGTGCTCATTTTCAGAAGAGGATAGTTGTTAATCTTTTGGAGGTGAGGTCCTCTGCATCTTTAGAAATGGAAGAGCACACTGGAAACTCATTCCTCGGCATATGTTCAAAGCAAAAGAACATGTAAGAATTACATTCCATTTCTTTCAGTATAGAGGTTTAATCACACCACATTCCTTTAGCAGTAATGAGAGCTGGCTGGTGTTACACTACATTCTTCCCCAGCCTCTGTGATGATATCAAGAAAGCAAGAGTTCTGCCACTATTGTTAAGCTTTTCTGAGTAAATTGAAAGGTTAAAACAGTATTTTCCTCAGTTAATTTTGAAAAATGAAACCATTTAAATTTTTCTGGATTGTATTTCTTCCTACTAGCTCTTCCTTTACTCAATATCCCAATGTTGTGGTTGAATTGGAGACACCACCACTACAGATCATGGAGTTATGGACAGCTGATTACAAGAGAATTATACCCCTGTTTGCTTTTTCTCTCCGTTGCATTTAAATTGTAAGTACAATCGTTAATGCTAAATGCATATTTTTGCCACCTAATGGTGTAATTCTGAATGTAAAAGTGTTATAGCAATATATACCTAGGCAACCCCATTAAGATTTATCCAGTCCAATTTCACTTGAAGAAAAAAGTTTGAAATACTTATACAAGACTGTTTCCTTTCTTAGACCGTTAATAATTTACTTTTTTTTTAAAATATATTTATTTACTTTTTTTATTTTCACTAAGGGTTTATGAATATTATCAAAAAAAAAAAGAGAGAAATTTTGAAAAACAGTTAACATTTATACTACCAGCCTGCCTCTTCTCCAATTTACCTGAATAACTAATTCCCTGTCAAAGCAATTCCATTCATCTTAATGCAAAACATGATTTTAAAGACTAGTGTGTTTGCCTGACATTGTATTGTAACCTTCACTAGCTTGTTCTGTCTGTCTCAAACCAATTTCCACAATTAATAGCAAGTGTCTTCAAAGGAGGAACTTTCCCTTGCAATCTAAATACTGTGCCTAATAACAAGTAGGCTGTATCTAAGTTGATGTCCCAATACACTCTCAGTAAAATCCAGTCATTAGTAACTCTAAATTTATAATAACAAAGCTCAGACTCCAACTTTTTTGTGAAAACTGGAATCTGGGCAAACTGTTTTTCGAAAGAACAATGACCTAAACAAGTTGTTTCCTTAAGTATAAGCAAAATACTTACTGTCCTGAAACGTGCAGTAAGAGAACAATGAGTGTAAGTGATCAGAGTGGATATCACAGCTACTGTGAGAATCTCCGAAGAGGATGCGTTTGGACCCCATATTGCTTCATTGTCTGAAAGATAATGAAAAAAAAAAAAGATATCTTGATTTTGCAGAACTGACTTGCAGAATCTTTCTCCTCCTCACTGATTTTGCAGGTGATGACTTCCCAATGCCACCTAGAACACTGCTTTCTGTGATCTCTCTCAGCCTTGACCTCCTTCATCAACATATTTGACTGCAATGGGCACCATTCCCCTTGTCTGCCTTTCTAGCAGTTTTTTTTCTTTTAATCCTTCTCTAATCCATTCATGACATGTTAAAATAGCAAACCTACCTCCTAGATTCACTGCAGATCCATTGCATTTTTGTCTTGTTCCTAAACGGAATTCTGTCCATTGTGAGCCTTTTTGTTACCTTCCCTGTTGCTATCCTGTATGAAAAGATCAAACTCTACTGAAGTTACATATAAAATGCTTGTGCATTTCAGGAAGAGAAAACTAACAATCAATACTTTAATTTTGTACAAAACTACTTATTATCATTTGCAGATCATAACTATCAGACTGCATTGCTTTGGTTGTTGGTGAACTGAATAAACTACATTCAAGTATTCAAATGCACATGCTTAAATACCTGGTTTAATTCTGATATCGTTACTGCTCAGAGACAAAGAGAGTTAAGCCAGCCATGGAAGACATACCTATCAGAGTTATATGATGAAGAAACATGTCTGGACAGAGGCTCTGGTTCTCACTAAGATTCCCTTTGGCATGCAGAGACAATGTTTATGCAAGAGGTCAAGATTCAATCCATTTCTCAAGCTGGAGCTTGAGATGAAACTTTTCAGGAGAAGAAACTAGGAAGGAAATCTCCACCCATATGCTGGCTACTGAAAAAGGGGGCAGAAGCTGGGAGCAGCAGACACCATAGTCCTCTGAGACAGGATGTGTCTTGGGGAAATGATGTGTCTCTGAAGGGAAATGACTGCAGCTGTGGCTACAAAAAAATTCATGAGCTCCCATATCACAGGATTTTCCAGTGGTTAGTCACTAAGATAACTTCTAAATCCATCCATCCAGAGCAGATTAGTAACTGATGCACAGATATTCCATGCACTTCTTTAGCCATGTTATTTCCTCCTCATCATGGTCCCACAGGATAGCACTATCCTAATGTGACTTTAGATGAAAAAGAAGAAAAAAACAAACAGATTTTAAAGACAGATATTAACATATCATAAATAGAGTTACTGCATTATACTCTATTACTATTACTAGCCAGAGTCTAAAATTCACTTTCTGAAAGAGGTAAGTCCATTGTTCATTTAAAGTGAGAAACCATGTTATGGTGCTTGGGCAAATGACTAGAAATTAAATGGGGTTTGTTCTAATTTACACTAGTGTTCTATCTCCAGCACTGTTGTCTAACTCAGATCAACACCATTCCCTGTTGTTGAACCTGCATTGACCCAATGACAGATTTCACACAGCATTTTTAGCAGCCCAGCACAAAGGGCAGAGCCTAGTTTCACAGTCTTTAAGCATAGTGAAATATCTTAGGCCTAAAGATTTTCCCTCATTTGTCTTACCTTCAATATCAGCAGGAGTGCCAACTCAAAGTACAAACTAGGTCTTCAATGACCTGGGCCTAAAGGGTCTATGTCTGAAAAAAAAAAAAAAATTCCTCCTCCCTGCCCCCCCCCCCCCCCCCCAAAAAAAAAAAAAAAAAAAAAAGACAATTTTTGCTTGATTTCACCTTATTTATCCATGAAATACTGTTGATAACACAATGCCTTTGCTGGACTCTTTGAAGGCTAGCTTTGTCAAGTGCCTTGAGAGCTATGTGCTAAGTATTCCAACTAATTACTAAGGTTTCCCTGAAGAATTGCATGTTCCATCATGCAATTACTCTGCAGGACTTTCTCATGTTGCTTTGTAAATTTTATCCTTGGATTTATTTGGCTAATATAAATAGGTTCATAAAAGACCTTCCTGAATAAGACAGTTAGAAGCAATCTCCTCTGAGTGACATGTATCAAGAATTTACTACCGTACTACAACATCTGTCTCTAGATATAGTCTGATTCAACTTGACACTGTGTATTTGTCCCAGTGGTATGCAGCTTAGACAAATGAAGTGTTATTAGGAAGACTGTCAGCCCAAACTATTTAAAACAGTTGACATAAAGCACTGTTTTCAACCAGGCCATATTATTTAGCCACTAAAGGAATACCAGGCCTTCTCTAATCTTTCCTATCCCTCGTGGCCCAGCATCAATTTGAAACAATAATTCTGTTGTCTGCAAAAGATGAGCAGTAAAATCTCCTATATTGTAAGTCTCTCCAAGTCTTAATTATGCTGATGCCGAGAGTAGGGTGCCACTGACAGCAATGCCAAAAGCTGACTCAGTTCTGCTTCTACAAATTCACCCCTTAGACACCACTGATCAACAGTGATACGTTGGAAGGTAGCCGCCACATTAAATCTCTCTCTTAGCCTAGTTAACATCAGGCTTGTGCCACAGCCAGTATACAATGCCTTCGAAGAAGTAAAAAAGTGTTCTATGATGTACCTTCTGTCCATGCAGCCAAGGAAAGAAGAGATGCTTTCCTGACCCCCAAACTTCTAGAACATTATCTGATAAGCCATAATACTTTGGCGTAATTAGCTTGTTCTCATTGCCCATCATTACTTATCTAGATATTCAGGTATTAAAAACCCATGTTTCTGGCTTTACAAAATTGCATACATGTCAGGGGTTAAAATGAGGTTTCAAGAGGGCCAATTTATCCCATTCCAATCTCTTGTGGAGACACAAATACTGATATGGATAGGCAACGAGGCTAGCAACAGACTTCTCTGTCTATCTAATGTTGGCAGAGAAAGCAAGCATCTTGGGGCAGCGTAAATCATTTAAACAAAACAGCCCTCACATTATAGTTCTGATTTTCTGTGTTTCTTCAACAAAGTGGAAGTTTTTCCATGTGTCTCATACAAGTTACTTCCAAACATTTTCATTCAAGAAATGAGTTTCATTCCAGGAGAGCTATCAAACTATAACAATATTATGTACTTCTACAGGTTATTGAATCTGCAAGGTTCAACAACAAAAATAGCTAACAAAGCCTTAACCCCACAAGATTATTATTTTCTGCCCTGGGTAAGCAACCAGAATGAGCTGTCCTAAAGGGTGTGTAATGCATACAGTCATACAGTTTTCTGAATTACTGCAAAGAACCTAGGCTAACCAGCTTTCGAAGCACTGAAAGCATTCCCCTTTGTCTTACATTAACAAGTTTGTAGACCTTTATCAACAAAATGATTTAATCTGAAAAATAATAAAGCAAGGTTGCAAGCTATATAAGAACAGCCCACATATTTAAGTAGGTTAGTAGGCCTAGTGAAGTGCTAAAAGTAACCAAAACCTGTTGACATGTGTCTTGAATTGTTCTTTTATTCCACTCTTGAAAGCCTTTAAAATAGAACTGGCAGAATGGTGGCTTTTTGTTTGTTTGTTTGTTTGTTTTTGCTTTTATTTTTAGCAGTAGCATTCAGGGCCAACGTGTCTAGCTAGGTAACTTGTGTAATAAAATGTGAGATCTTGCTTCTGCAATCAGGTGTAATCATCCTGCAAAGTGATGCATCTAGCCCCTAAACGCTTATATATGCATTCACTGACTACAAATTTATTTATTTTTGAGTGAATGCTATATCTCATTTATTCGGTAAAGCACGTTGCACAGTTTGGTTGCTACAAATTTAACAAGCATTTGGAATACATTGCTAGAAAACATTATGTTCCAATTTGAGTCTAATCCACAGTCAGTTGGCTATGAGGAAGTAAGCTTTCCGTTTAGCTAGAATGTTTTTTTTTTGTTTTTTTTTTTACTTTTTTTTACTATTTTTTTTTTGTTTGTAACTATGGCACGCTGAATTCTGTTGACAGCTGCAAATCCACTGTGCAATACAACAGATCAAATTTTGTATTTTGCAGCAGTTTAAGATATCTGCATATGCTATTGGTTATACTGAAAAGTTTTTAAAGGTAGTCTGGACAAAAGATGGTTGTAGGAGTGGGCCAATCTAATTTTTCTTAAGTTAATTCCAGGATTATTTGTTATTAAAATAGGTTTTATTGGAAATGATTAGATCCCCATCACCAGTCTTCCTCAAACACCTCTGTTTCTCCTTTCTGGCTTAATTTAAATCTTGCATACTTTCTGCCATCCCGCTTCTGCTTACGTTTTCCTTTTATAATCCATGTCTGGCCGCAGTCTGCAGGTGTTGATATGCACTTATGCACAGACGGGGTAATAGCTTCAGTTTTAGGAACTATATAAAACAATTTTTCTACACAGAGAGGAAAGATTTCTGGTTAATTCACGATGAATTTTGCAAAGCGGTTTTTAAGAAATGGAATGTGGATGTCCTGTCACACACCCCGCCCCTTTATTTTTTTATATTGGTAATGTGCTCTCTATTGTAAACTATACAGACTACAACAATGTTATTTTTTTAGCCATTAGGGGAAAGGAAATGACATATGGAGAGAATTCAAGTCCCTCCTCATTCCTAGAGAGTCTATCCAGAAAGTCAGTATGCTGAGCTGCGTCCAAGTGTCGTTTCCTGCTCAGAATTGGGAAGGGGAGTTGGGGGTGGAAAGAGAGAAGGATACGTAACACTAAATTGCTGCTTCTGATTAACAGCAACATTCTGCAAATGATTTCACAGTATTGCTTTGAACAGAACTGAACCTCTGCAGCCCAAATATGTGTAGCAATCCACTGATGAAAGAGCTATTTTTACATCTGTTTCATATAGTGGGTAAAAATGAAGTGATTTGGATGATGGAAATGTTCCTTGGAGATTATTCAAGATTTTCTGATAACTTTGTACATCCATTCTTCCACATGCCCACAGAGCATAGCTACATACTCCTGGTATTGTAACTATTCTACCACCATGAACCTGTACACAATCCAATCTGTTACAGATAACAAATCAAGCAGCTTTCCACTACTTATATAAATAAGAAAACATGTTCAAAAGCTGATTCCATAATTTTCATTTAGTATTGCAATACAAATTGAGAAAGATATGAAATAAAGTAGAACACTTTCCTAGTATACTGACTCTTTCACTGCGCTCAGGGATGTAATCCAACCTCTTCCCCAGTGAAATCAGTGCCCTTGATTTTGCTTTAGTGTGTCAGTCAATTGAAACTCCCTTCCTGACGTATGATTTATACATCATTTCTGGACTTGGCCCATTGTTTTGTTTAAATGATAAGCACAACATTTTAATGTGGTCACGTTCTGCTTAGTAAGAATTAACAGGATTTTTCTCCACCCTGCTTTAATTTTTCTCTCCTTTCCTCATCACTTTAAATCCCAACTTTACTTTCCTCCCACTAATGACACTCCCTAGGGTAGTGGGTGAACTGCAACCTGGAAACAGGCCATGGCTCTTCCACGAAATATTCTGGCTTCAGCGGAAGAGTGTCCATTTCCTGGAGCCAGTCTGAGACAGACAGTGCTCTGAAGTCAGAAACAGGACTGGAATCCAGTGACCCTTATTCCACATGAAGTGCTGTGAAACTGAAGGCACATCAGTTCTTTCTTAGCCATCTATATGTAGAGCTCCTGCCTGACTTGTATCAGTGCCATGTTATGGATCAGTTAGAAGGAAGTGTTTTCCAAACACAGTGAACACCGTTACACACTTGCAGGTTGAATGTTCTTCTGAAGTCTGCAAGAGGGTTAGGTACACCCTTCCCAGCCTCAGGATGGCTCACCTAAATTCCCTCTTACAGTTCTCTAACACGTTTCCTAACATTATATATCTAACATTATTTCCTCTGAAGGTGAGTTGAGCTTAA